CTTATATTATGTCTATGGTCTATCCTTATATTATGTCTATGGTTATGGCGGCCATTGTCTGACGTCACTGTGAAAAGCGTTGTACTGGCTTCATTGACTTCCTACAGACTTCCGGGATGTTCCTACAGTGCACTCTAGTGGTGGTAAATTGTAAAGTCTTAGTTTCCACTAGGCTACATTTTCATTAACATAGAAAATACTCCATCAGTTCAGCAGTTTCTCTTTTGTGTATCTTCTCTGTCTTCTCAAACCTCCAGTCGGTTTTGGCAGATGGTCAATTATACTGAGCCTGGTTTCGGTTCTGCTGGAGGTTTCTTCCTTTGAAATGGGAGTTTTTCCTCTCCATACATGCTCAGTATGAGGGATTGCTGTAAAGTCAATGACACAAAGCAAGCGATTGTCTACTGTCACTCATCCAGGAGGAGTGAACCTGACACTATGGGGTTGACCTTGCTAACGCTCCCCTCTCTCTCCCTGTCTTTGCTTCTCTCTTGGCAGTATTACTTCTTTGTATCAGGTCTTCAGTGATAAGATTAGGTTACCTCACCTGCAAGTGATACAGCTTCATAAATATCTTGCTTTTCATGAATAATTGGCAAGTTTGCCAGCTAAAGTGAGCATGTGTACAGAAAGAGGCTGCAGGCAGATAAAGCAGTCACTGTTTGTGGAGCAGCAGACCAAAGATGGATATTTCTGTTCTACCCAACAACAATCACCCTGAAAAGTTCCTGCAGTTGGATGTTGGCGTTTTGGATGCTACCCATGGCATGTTTCAGGTTGGAGCATTTGTTTCCAGTCAGAGACGATGGCAGAACCGGGTCTATTTACAGGTATGGAGCAACAGAGCTACCATTACTCAACAGCATGCTCCTTCCTCACAGTGACTTTGTGTGTAATATGTTGTTCTTATGAATGATTGGTCTTTCTATACTTAATAAATATTTAAATCAAAGCTTGCATGTGAGGTCAGATCTGATATGCTGATAAAACAGTAACTTTGTTGTTGCCTCAACTATACTATATATGTTGTTACTCAAGGTATACTCAAGGTTGCCTCAAGGTAGTTTAGGAGTTCAAGTTTAGGTTACTTTGTAAATTTATCTACAAAATCTGCAATGTTAAGATGGTTATTTTATTCTCAGTTAGATAAGAATAAAATTATTCCTTTTTTTCTGACAGCGGGAACAAACAACCCAACATGGAAGAAAAATTCCTCCATATTCAGAGGGCAGTCCTGTGGTGTTTGTGGACAGATATCTGGAGAAGCACATAACTCCAGTAACTCTGAAGTATAACATCAAAAGGAATCCTCTTTACATGGATATAAAATCCATCGACACGGCAGACAATGAAAGATTTAAGCCTTCCTGGACCATCAAAGAATATGACACACAAACTATCCATGGCAACTTAACAGATTATTTGAAGGTATTTTGCAGTTAATGACAGAAACCAAGGGATTTTGCAGCCTATATAATCATAAACTATATGTTCATCTTTAATCTGAACAAAGGCAATAAAAGGTCAGCTCATTTGATCAACCTTTAGAACATTTCCACCACATTGAGTCAGCTTTTCACCTGTGATCCACATCTAAATGTTTAATTAGGAAGCAACTAGACTTCTTGGTAACATTTTATTTGACGGGATGTGTGTAAGACTGACATGACACCGTTATAAACATGATATAACATTACCAACTTTACAATATTTTGTACTTTAATGCAAAGTTGGCATTTTCAAGGCAAATTTTAGAACAACTTTGCATTAAAAGTGTCATTATTTACCAAATGTCACTTCATGACATCAGTCATAGACATTCATAAAGACTGCTTCATGTTCATGACAGCTGTTATGTCATGTTTATGTGTCATGTCAGTATACGTACACCCCGTCAAATAAAGTGTTACTGACTTCTCTTGTTCAACTAAACTCAATGTAGTTTATCGATAGGGCCAATTCACAACAAAATATGCCTTGTGAAATCACCTGGCAAGAAGAGGAAATGCTGCACTACAGGTGTTCAAATATGGACCTAGAGCAGCTCTTCTGTTTAATGTAGAAGGCTTGATTCAATGCTCCTTTGAAGATGTGCATCAAATGTTTAATGTTTAGCTGAGTTTATTTGTTTTTGAACATAACCCAAAAGAAAAAATTAAGCAAGTGCAAAACTTGTCAGATATGTAAAATAGATTGTTTAAAAAGAAATAGGCAGAAGTAAATGTATATTATTCCACATCCTCAACTGATTATATCACCTTCTTAAATCATCCATCCTATTGAGGTTGCAAGGAGTGCTGGTGCATATCTCCAGGTGAAAGGTGGATTCACTATGGACAAGTTGCTAGCCCATTGCAGGACAGCATAGAGACAGATAGGACATGTGTGTGTGTGTGTGTGCATGCACAGACTCATACACACGTCAGGAGAATTTAGGGACCAATCAACCAAGTTATGTCTTTGGATTGTGGGAGGAAGTCAGAGTACTTGGAGAGAACCCATGCATGCAGAGAGAGAACATACAAACTCCACACAGAAAGACCCCAGAACTGGAATTGAACCCAGGACCTTCTGAGATAATGTCCAATTACCTTGCTTTTAAACTGTTAGAAGCCAAAAGGTGAAAAGTTGTCTGTGAGACAAGAGTCAACAAATCTACAATATGACCTTCAGAAAGAAGGCGATGCAATCTTTTTAATGAAGATTTGAGGATAAGTCATAAACATAACATTTCTTTTTATTTTCAAACTGAAATAACATCTCTAAAGATAAATCACAACTCTTTGCCAAAAAAAAAAAAAAAAAATCAATTGTTTTCCCTTTTGCTTCTGTTGTTCGGTTGGTTAAAATTCCCAGGAACAAATTACTATGAAAAAAGTAGAAAATCACTGAAAAAATAATGATTGTTTTTTTCTTTTTTGTCCCCCCATATAGCATACAAAAACACCCAAGGAGCTTGACTTTTGGCTTGAAGACCTGTACACTCCAGGATTTGACTCTCTGCTCAAGAGAAAAGAAGCAGAGCACAAGAGAAAAAGACTTTCCAAAATTGTTCTCTCAGTAATTTTGCTAATTTGTGCTTCTCTTATTGTCATAATAGTGCCTATTGTAGTTTTACAACAGAGCTAATTTGGATGCAACTATTGTGCTATAATCAGCATCATCTACTCTAAAAGACAATAGGGGATGATACAGTGTCCAAACTTTCTATCCATCCATCCATGTTCTTTACACCCTTGTCCCTTAGTGGGGTCGGGAGGGTTGCTGGTGCCTATCTCCAGCTAATGTTCTGGGCGAGAGGTGGGGTCACCCTGGACAGGTTGCCAGTCTGTCGCAGGGCAACACAGAGACAGACAGGACACACAACCATGCGCACACACACACATTCACACCTAGGGACAATTTGGAGAGGCCAATTAACCTGACAGTCATGTTTTTGGATTGTGGAAGGAAGCTGGAGTCCCTGGAGAAAACCCATGCATGCACAGGGAGAACATGCAAACTCCATGCAGAAAGACCGGGGCTGGGAATTAAATCATCTCCCAGTTCTACCAACTGTGCCACTGTACAGCCCCCCAAACTATCTACCAAGATCAAAATCATTACCTTAAAAATAACCAATATTTTTGACCTCAAAAATTACCTAATGATTGGCTTTCTTTACTCATAAAGCCACTTGTGGTCCTACTTGCTATGAAATTAAAATTAAAATTTAGTAAAATTAAAATTTTGTCATACAAAACTGTAAAAGACATCTGTCTGCATTAAACTTACACACCATATCTCAAAACTAAAACTTATGGACATTTCAAAGTTTTTGAAGGTCAGCTTGCTCCAATCTTCTGAAAATCCCGCACCTGACTGAAGGATCAGTGAATATGTTCTTTTTAACAGGTCATGTGTAAAATGATTGTAATTGGCAAAAATGACAAAAGTACACAATACATATTATAGATAAGAAATGCAAAGGATAATAGAGTCTATTCTAGTCTAAATGTTTTATTACTTGCATACAAGAAAGGCAATGGGAGTCTACTCTTCTTCCTGCATGTTAAAGGAAGTGCTTTAGACAAACACATAACCATTAAAGACGATGCTTATAATGACTATTCTGGCTGCCTTCGTTTTAAATGGACAATTATGTAAATTTGATTTAAGTGTCATAAAGATTAAATTTTTTGTTGTGCTATTAAATTCATACATTATATTGTGTTTCAGGGCTCTTTGAATCACTATAATTAATTTCACACACCTGGGTTAATTAGTTTGTCTGGTGAGCTCAATTAAAGGAAATCTGCCCATGAAGAATGTTCCACATTATTAAGCAGGTCACAGGTTTCAAGCATTGTGGGAAAGAGAAAGGATCTCTCTGCTGCCGAAAATCATCATAGTTTAGTGCAGTGGACAAGATATGAAAACATTAGATATTTAACGAAAGCTGAAGCGTGAAGAGATTTGTGGCCGATTCAGAACAAAGGGGGTTTGTGCAGATCAAGGCATAATGAGGAAGGTTTCTGTTAGACAAATTCATTGGATTGAGAGAGCAGATGCTAAAATGTCCTTACAAAGCAGCAAAGATATTTGAAGCTGCTGGTGCCTCTGAAATCTCAAGGTGGAGGATCCTCCAGAGGCTTGTTGTGTACTGTTCGGCCACCCCTAACCAGTGCTCACAAGCAGAAACGGATGCAGTGGGCCCAGCCATACATGAAGATTAATTTTCAAACAGACTTGTTCATTGATGACTGCTGTGCAACCCTGGATGGTCCAGATGGACACAGTAGTGGATTGGTGGTGGATGGCCGCCACGTCCCAACATGGCTGTGACGTCAGCAAGGAGGTGGTGGAGTCATGTTTTGGGCCGAATTCATGGGGAGAGAGCTAGTCGGCCCCTTCAGAGTCCCCGGAGTGAAAATTACCTCAGCAAAGTATATGGACTTTCTGACTGATCACTTTCTTTCATGGTTCAAAAAGAATAGCCCGTACCTTCTATGGGGAAAAGGGGAGAAACTCATGGTGTGGTCACCATCCTCTGACCTCAGCCCTATTTGAAGTATCGTCAAGCAGAAGATCTGAGGGTGGGATGCAGTTCATATCAAAACAACAGCTCTAGGAAGGTATTCTGATATCTTGCAAAGAAATCCAAGCAGAAACTCACAAACTCACAAGTTCAATGGACGCAAGAATTGTGCAAGTGGGTCCAAAGAAGGGATCCTATGTTAATATGCAACTCTGTCAAGATGTTTTTGATTGAAATAGCTTTAGATTTTACTACGTCAAAGAATGACTGTTTGCAGTTCTCTATAATCCATAAAATATTTAGAAAATCTACTGTGCATAATAATATGAAACAGTGCATTTTGATTTTTTTTTTAAATAAAAAAAAAACCCGTCTAATTGGGAGGTTTGTTCAGTAAAATTTGATTTATACTGTAATAGTTCATGACTTGAAAATTATACTGACCATCATTTGCATTGACCATTTAGGAAAATCTGAGAAAATATCACTTGCATAATAATTTGGAACACGTTGTATGACTCAAAAACACAAACCAAAAACAGATTTCATTTGATTCATTTATTGCAATAAAGATATACAAAGTATTTGTAATCATAACTGTTAAAATGTTAGAAAAAACATATCTGTGACTGTTAACAGTACAGTGAATCAAATCATTACTACTTCAACCAGCCAGGTTGATTCCATCCATGTTTGTCAAAGCTTGGATCTGATCTTAACCAGGTCTTTGTCTCAAAAGGCATCGAAAAGATAGTCAAAAAATACAATTTAGCTAAAATTAAAAGGCAAGCAGAATATTAACAAAAAAACATGCACAATAATTTTGTACTGAATCCAAAATATTACACAAGGAAAAAAAAAAAGAAATTCCAGATCTAAAATAAATACTTTCTTCATACTAAATGAAACATTATTAGATTATTTACAGGTTAGGCCATGTCAGTGGAAAGGAGGCCAATGTCTGCAGGTCTTTAGGATTGTGATTACTTTATTATGTTGGAAAACGTATTACCAGTCATTTTGGTTCTGGAATGAGCGGGTGACAGGGATCAGGCTAAGAAAGAATAACGTTGGATTATGATCTCAGAAACGCTGCCTTAAATCTGAAATATTAACAAATGACTTCTGATCTGTGGAACAGAGCATTGGAATAGAGCATTGGAATATTCTCCAATACTCTTTATAACCTATTAATAAAGAGAACTGATCAAATCAATAGGCACAAACCCCTGTTTGTAAAAGTTAGGTTTTGATCAAAATGTGACATATCAAAGACAAAGATTTCCTATAGGTCAGACTGACCGATATATGTATGTGTATATGCTGAATATATGTCTATATATCTTCTTTAACATATAAATACAGAATAATGGATGTGTGTTTTCTTCAGTGTTGCTCTAAAACAGAAGGGAGAGTGACGGCTCACAGTATGGCAATGAACATAAAGTCACATCTTTATTCTGTTTAATACACAAAAGTGATTTCAAACATCAAATCTAATTTCTCTTTGAGTACAGGCTTAAATAAAGTCCAGCTTGTTCTGTGCATTCATTTGTATATTCTTCAATTAGTTCATATTGAAGGCTCAATGGACATTTATAGAATTCACCATTAACAGCTCAAAATAGCCTGAAGTGTACAGCAGCTAGCTGGGATGGATAATTATCATACTGCTTATGATAACTGGGGAAAATGATTGACAAAAACTTACTTATGGTCATAAGGATAAACTTGATTATGTTTGCAAAAACTATAAATAATATAATTGCAGTTGTTACTATTGCTGTTTGAGCTGTTGGTTCCATGGCAGTATCGATCAATATCATTACATTTCAAAATGTGAATGCAGTTATTGCATGCTGTTCAGTACCACAACTGCACTACATAATGGACCTGCTTTACCGTTTGGTAATGGGCGTCTTGGCTTTACAATAGTTTGGATTTGTGGGGATATGAATGAAGGGACAGATGTATCACTAAGACCGGTGAAGAACACATTTTGTGAGCTGCATCTGTTTGAGTGAAAGTCTGATTTTTAAACAAACTTAAAACTAATTCTGAAAGGTCTAGAACGTTCCACTTTGATAGAACAGTCCTCAGAGTGGGAATGCTTCCTAAAGCTTCCCCAAACACCAGAAATGAGCTGGGAAGTTTGCTCCTTCCCCCAAATAGAAAGAAACCACCTGTCTTCAACATTGGAAAGTTTTCCTTAGACAAACAGGAACATCCTCTCTCACTCCTACAGATGGGTGTAATAATAGTAAAGGTGCTTTGCTTATTTCTCAGGACAAAGTGTCTGGAACAGTGTGCAGGAGAAGCACAGAAGGATGAGTGATAAAGATCTTATTGCTGTCTATGTGGAAAATACATGAGAATAAAGCAATAAAAAAAATAAAAAAAAATCTGCTCACTCAGAAGCCGGACTTCATAATAAATACATTACATTCCACTAACCTAAGCATTGGTTGACATTCTTCTTCATAAGTTGCATACAATCAGTGAAGACTAAACTTGTTTGAAAAAAAGAAGACATGACTAGAAGGGCAAATCAAAACAGAACTGAATTTGACTTTACTGTTGTAAGCCATCTCTTATCTAAAACAACATTGATCAGCAAAATTAGGTGCTGTTCATCTGACTTGCAAATATGACGACCTAAATCGCTTTCTATAGTCGAACAACCTGCAAAGTCACATTGATTCTCTCATCTGGAAATCCAATGACTTATTTACTTCAGTCAACATTTACTCAACAGAATTTGAGGTGAAAGGTATCTGCTCACTAACTCCTGACCTACTCTATTTTTTAATTTGACAGCAGAAGTACACCATTAAAACTGTACTTATTCACTTCTAATGATTGCATAAGCAATAGATGTACAGTTATTAAGTTTATTTAGTAAAAACTTTTAAAAATCAGCCAAACTTTACTTCTCCAAGCATAAACTACAGTTCTATTCGAGCTTTGTGTTCTACAGTTGACCTATTTTTCACACCTCAGAGCAGAGAAGTTCTATATGGCTTTTCATGGAACAATGGTACTGCTGCTTGGAGCCAATGGAGGATTGCTGAAGGTTCCCATCAAATGAAGCAAGGCTCCACTGCACAGAAAACTACTGGACTGGAACTTCAGCTCACCTGCTCAAATGCATAGAGGTACATCATCACACTCAGTCAAAACATATTCTGGATGTGGGGAGATGTGAGCTCTGTGAGACCAGGAGGAAAACACTCCACAGTGCAGCTTGATGGGAGCAAAGGAGCCCAGTAGGCTTGTCAGCCTACATCAGTATACATCAGTGCCAAATATTACAGTCAGCGGACAGAGCACTTCAACAGCAATGTGCAGTTAAAAACCAGAGCACACCAAATTCAACGACACTACAGATGGATGCATCTACTGAGACTGAAGACAAACCACGGATTGCTTCCACATTTATCCACAAATCACACAGCCAGTATGGCTTTGGAGAAAGGAAAGCATCATTAAGGCAAGGTTTTAATTAGGTCGTTGAAGAGAGTAGAGTCTTTAGAGGGGAAGAACAGAAACAAACATTACTCAGCAGCTTCCAACCAACAAGGCTCATTATTATCATTAGCTTCACATCTTTGCTAACTAATAGCATGTTTAATTTAAAAACAAATACAATCTGATGCAGGCACTGGACCCAAACAGTCAACTGTGTCCAATAACAGGCTATTGAAAATGATCAACAGCTTTACAATGGAAGACCAACAGGGCTTTGAACCATAAGCAGATTAGAAGAATCTAAAAACAAAAAGACAGAAAGGCTTCACCCCCAAATCTAAACTGATTCAACTAAGAAAGAATCACCATAAATGCATTAAAATTATTACTTAACCGCCAATAATATGGGTCATATTGTTTATCTGATTAGAGATTCAACTAATTTCATCAGATCCGACCAAAAGGCACATCTGTAAGGCTTTAGAATGTGTTGTTCTCTCCAATGTCTAAAACAAATAACTAGGTGATTATTGCTAACAGACGTGGCAACTGGTCCTAGTAACTTCAAGATATTCCATACCATGAGAACAAAAAATCACAAATATTATGAATGCCTGAATTACAGCCTAAGAGACAAGAATTTGAACAGAAATGACAACTTCTGCACGAAAGTTGAAAAAACTAAAGCTACAAAAAAAGAGGAAAATTTGGAATAAATAGAAAAGAAAGGAGCCAAGAGGGCAACCTTACCAATAATTTCCACCCTAACCCTGAAATTCCTTCATCAACGTCTCAACCGGTATCACTTCCTTCTTTAGATCAACAGCGGCTGTGTTTTCTACAGTCTCTGGAGTGTGATGGTGCACCTTTTATTTTGGGATTTAACTGGAACATGTGTGTGGCTTTGCTATCAGCCGCAGAAGTGAACGTGAGACTTAAAAACGCAGGATTTTTCCCTGTGGTAACACTAAGAGTAGAAGGTGAGTACGCTCTGGTGGTTGCCACGCACGAGGAGGATGGGGGGCAGGTCCTTAGACAGCACCTCCAGCCAGGCCATATAGAGGGCACTAGAGACTGCGCCCTTCCGAGCTAATGGCAGGCTCCTGGAGAGAGGAACAACAGTTAAAACAAAGATCTAGCTCTTTCATACTTGGGCTACAGCGTTGGAATGGACACACTATCACATTCATGAAGTGGCGCTACAACAGACGATCAATGGTGAATGCAGGCTTACATGACGATGAGGTTGGCAGTGCTGGAGTGTTCCTTCAGTAGCTCATTGAGCCTGATCTGACGATTGGTCTGGAGAACAAATACAACACACAGTTAGAAAACATTCCTCTAGAATCTAGATCCCCGCACTCAGACTCAGGGTGTGGGGGGCAGGACAATCTCACAGATGGAAACAGATGCATTTCATCATGCCTTTTTGATGCTGTACTTCTTTATGCATTCTCTGCTAATTGCATAAGCTGTGGTCATTGTTGTAGAATGATCTGTAAATACAACAATCATCCAGGCTCTTCAAATGTCAGTGTCATGTGAAGACGTGGAGAAAACAACTGACGGCTAATGATTCAGTTTGAAGCTTTGCAGTGATTTTAGCAGCTAGAACCGAGAACAGTTGTGACTGCAGGCAGTATATTACAAGTTAGGTGGGTTGCCAGGCTTTACACGGCCCCTTCCCCCTCCAGGCTAAGTGTTTGTTTATGCTTTCATTATACAGAAAAAAAGAAGAAAAAAAATCACAATTCCTTAGTATGGCTTATTTTAAAATAAGCCAAACTGCAAGTGATGAGTATATCTCTGGCAGGGCAGAATAGTTCCTGACAGATGGGTTTATAGTTGATGAATTGAAGCTGAGAGCATGCACCAGTCACACCGCTTGGCATCTCTGGCATTGGCCGCCTCACACGCCGTCGCGGTTTGATCACCGAAGTTTACCTTGGTGCAGATTGCCTCATAGTTGTGCATGACGCTGGTTTTATTTTTTTATTCTTATTTTTTGAGTGACACGATGCATTAAACGGCACCATATCAAATGTTTTGTCAACTTAGTGAGGCAGCAATGCTGCATGCGGAAATCAGAAAAACCTTTTCCCTAAAGCTCAGGCAACCAAAACAGTCTCTGTCTCTGAAACTCAATAGACATGAAATAGAAGACCTACTTTAGTAGCTCTTCCATTTCATGGAAAAGCTACTCAGTAGACATAAATCATGTCTATTGATTTATGTCAATATATATTGACATAAATATATATATATTTATATATATAGTTTGCTGTATCCAGCAAACTGTCCCTCTGCTGGATACAGAGGGACAGTTTGTCCCTCTGTATCCAGCAGAGATGTGCAGTGCAGCAGATTTATCATCATGCAGGGCTAGTTGTTAGAATTACTATGTTATCTTTCTTACATAAGTAGTTTTAGTTTAATATATGATTAAGTTGTTTTTCCATTTTGTTCTCTCTTAACCTAGAGAAGAGGAATTTGTTAAACTGTGTTTAAGAAGAGGTCTTCCTGTGATACTCCTAGTTGTAAAACTGTCTGTGTGTAGAATTTAGTTCTGTTTTACCCCTTTCCTTGTTATCAGAGTAGCCCCCCCTTCTGTTATGATCACCTTCCCACATTCCATTCCCTTCCCTTTCCCTGCTAATAAAAAGACAAGTTCTGCAGCAGAGTGACAGAACGTATGCTGGTGGAAGCCAGGCTGGCTTCTACCAGGCCGGCTTCTACCAGGCTGGCAGAAATGCTGGGGTTACTGTGCCTTCTCAATTCTTGCAAGAATTTGGTTGAAAACCAAGTAATGCCGTCTGTGGTTCTTTCCAAGGTTGAATGAGGCCTTGAGCAGAATTTGACTTAGGGGCCCTTCTTGCTGCTAAAAACATCAGCACCACTAACAGCATTTCACTATGGACTTAGTAAAATCTGGGAGAGGGGCTCTAGTTTATTTGGCCAACCGTAAAAGCGTAAAAGTGATAATTGTATTGTGATAATTGTAGTTCCTGAGATGTATTTATGAACAAACAGAGCTCAAACTTAAAGATTAAACTCATGGCATCAGATTATGGTAACCAAACAATCCAACTATGAGGATTGTTCTTAAGTAAACTTTGCCAGCTCCTTAAAATCTTAAAATTTAAATTATAAAGTTAAATTACAGGACGTTATATTGTTTATCTGTGCTGAGACTAAATTTAACAGCGTCGATATTCTCAATAAATAAAATATTACATTTTTACATGTGTGGTCTGTGTTAAAATGTTAGCAAATACAACACAGGTCTGGGGGGCCACAAGCAGCTTCTTAGTTCATTTATGCCTTGGGCCGGTTTTAAATGTGATCAGCGTTACATCATCTTTTTAGATCCACTAATTGATTACTTAATTTGCATTTAACAGAAGTGCAAAAAACCTGATATTTATTTTAATTGTATTTTTTTATTTGTTGTTTTTAAGACTCTATAGGTTTAGGAATTGTCAGTAAGGTCTTCAAGTAACATAACTGCCCAGTAATATTTTACATTTCCTGTCAACTTAACAACTTTTAATTTTTAGGTTTTGTTGGCTCTAGTGGCCTTTATTTGAAAGTAGTTCGACAGGAAAGAGGGTAATGAGAGAGGGGGAAGACATGCGGCAAATGTCACCAGGCCGGGAATCGAATCTGCGACCACCACCATGAAGACCAAGGCCTCAATACGTTGATTGTGCTTTGCCCCTGCGCCACCACAGCAACCCCAACTTAACATCTTTAAATATAAAAACATCCACCAGGTTTAGCAAGTTTTCTGGGGAAAACCCAGGACTGGCATGAATCAGAAACCTTCTGATGTCTGAATGCTGCCACTGATCAGGTAAATTTTTATCTGCTGATGTTCTGCTTTAACTGGGTGACATGTGACATATTCCTGCAGAATGTCGACCAAGATGTGATTGAGTAATCTTGATGTTGTGACCGGATTGGTGACGTTAAAAGTTAGTGGCAGGCTTCACCAGGACCTCACTGTGTTTGAGATGACATGGAAGCAGTATGCTGAGTGTGCTGCAGTGAATCAATGTATGATTCACTGCAGCACACAGTGAATCACAGTGAATCACACACTGATTCACCTTGATGCAGTGCATCAGAGAGTATGAGAGGTTGTTTCAACCTCTCATGCAAAGACTTTTGCATGCTAAAATAATGAAATAAAAATATTTTTGCAGCATTTTCCTTCTAAACCGGTGAATCAGAGTGTGTGTGCCGTGTGTGTTGCAGTGAATCAGAGAGTGGGTGCAGACCTTGGCGCGGTACAGTTCCAGCTCGTTGTCTGTGATTCTCCAGGGTTCGCTGTTTTTCAACCTCTCGGCTGCCTCCAATTCCATGTTGTCTTCCTTCAGCCGATAAGGCTCAACCATCTCCTCAAAGGTTGCCACACTAAGTCAGAACACAGACTTCCTGGTTAACAACATGATATAAGCTGCAGACTTCCTGGTACAGCCACAGTTACCCAAATGTGACATCTGTACAACAAAAAAGCCACACTGGCTTCTGAGTGGGATTGGATGATATTCTTAGAATGTAGGTTTAAATAATAATTTATGAGCAGTGATGAGCCATCAGCCATGTCAACAAACATGACAGACAGGAAACCAATCTGCTGCTTTTTGTTGTCCCTTAATGAAGACCAACTTAAAATGATAAGTGAAAACATGTTCTGTCACATTTTATTTACAATTAGGAATTCTGGAGGATCCAAACATTAGTTTGAGCTTGTTGTCAAAATACCTCTTTGCTGGTAATCAATGATGTATTTTCACCACCAGATGGCAGCAGTGAGCTGAACATTTTCGAATGAAACTGACTTCTAACACACTAGGTATAAAAACATTTAAACAGCTGGAATCTGTGAACAACAAATATCTAAAAGAAGACAAAAATGTATTCCTGTTTTTCAGAGAAAGGTGCTGGGTTTTTTTCCGCATGTTGTCTGTGTGACGTCAGTGGGAACAAAAATAATGTATACGTTTGACATTCTAAATGTTTAAAAAGCCTCTTCTATCCCCATTTATGTGAACAACCTGCAGAATGTTGAGGTAAAACTATTGATCAGCTGACACCAAGCTCAAGTAAGCACATGTTTGGTGTGGCCTTTATTGTTGCCCAGTTTTGAACTTGGCTTTAACTCATTCAGTCTAAAGCATCTTTTAGAAAGTCAACCACATAACAAAAGCTCTAATTATTTCAAAGTTTGCATCTTCAGAAAATGTTGAGTGGATGAGACTTTGAAAGTAGAGTCAGACTTTAGAAGTGACATAGTCAAGTACAGATGAAATGTTCAGAGGAAGGCGAGATGATGGTGAGGATGACATGAAAACGACTGAAAGAGCAAACTTACTGCTCCTTCTTGGGCTTGGTGTTGATGTCCCCCAGCACGGTGATGTCAGAGAAGTCTATTCTGAACTTGCTCAGTAGAGTTGCCATCCTGTAAGAAAAAAAGTCAGAGTTGTAGGTTTTATGCTTTGTTGCTCAGAGCAGCAGAGGCAGAGTTTTATCTGGAACTGGAGCTAATTTCTTTCTGCACTAACTTCAACAGAGCAAAATTCCTGACAGAGTGAGGCATCCTGTGTGCTGCACAGCACCTTTGTGT